ACATTCATCAAATGCGTTACAGCACAAAGTTATGGTGATACGGGATGCCGTAATTATTGCAAATACATTTAAAATTTGTAACATAGAAGCATAGAAGGATATTCAGAACATCTGAAAATCCCAAATGCCCAGAGAATACGAAACTGCAGATCTCTGAACTCAGAGAAACCATAGTATATGAATCCTGCTCAGATTTGCTGATACTGCAGGTACTGCATTATTCACATACAGGAATACCTCGTTTTATTGCGCGTCGCTTTATCGCGCTTCACAGATATTGCGTTTTTTACAAATTGAAGGTTTGTGGCAACCCTGCGTCGAGCAAGTCTATCGGCGCCATTTTTCCAACAGCATGTGCTCACTTCGTGTCTCTGTGTCACATTTTGGTAATTCTCGCAATGTTTTTTTAGACATAATGCTATTGCACACTTAATAGACTACAGTGTAGTGTAAACATAACTTTTATATGCACTGGGAAACCTAAAAATTCGCGTAACTCGCTTTATTGCGGTGGTCTGCAACCGAACCCGCAATATATCCGAGGTATGCCTGTATATAGTTAAATACTAAATAATGCAAACCATGACTCGACCTTACATCTAAGTCATTTTTCTTTCAGTTGTAGTAATTTAATAAGCTTCCCAATTTTTTACCAAAAATTTGGTAGCATGCATATAGTAATAGATTTAGTGACATATAATTGTAAACAGTTATTTATAACATAGCTGTTTACACTCAAATAAATTAATAAATATAAAAAAGTTTAAAATAAATACTTTGCTAGATGTTAACTCATCAATACATGGGAAGTGACACTTCTCGGTAAACTGCTTAACAAAATCCAGTTCCATACACTTTAAAATAAATATTTGAAGAATTTTCAAGAATAATTTGCATGCACACAATATATTTTCATTTTTTAAAAGAACTAAAATACAGCATTTTAGGAAACTCAAGTTCAGGGGTCCAATTTGATTACCTTTAAAACATGCCTGTGTTAAATATGTAGGTTTAATAGGAGAAGGTATTTTATTAGCTTTGAAATAAGCTGGAAGCGTGCTCTGTATCTCAATTACAGCAGATTTTGTCACTGTGCCCAAAGAAACTATTTCTTGTATTTTTATGTCCGCTGTCAAGATCCTAGTGGCCATAAAGCAGGGAAATTTTGCAGG